GAAACCCTTGTGATCAAATTGCAAGGCATTCGAGTGGAAGGAGTTCCGTCGTTATGGTACTTCCCATCCCTGGACCTTCTCGTTGCAGGGTACGTGGACGATATTGTCGCAGCAGGACCGGTTGAGTCGCAGCAGAGCTGGCCAATCACATTAAGGTGGATGCCGTCGCGCAACCAGGCCGATACCTGGGCGAGACCACTTGATATTTGAATTTGAAAGTGGCCGCAAAGTATTCTTGTCAATGAAAGATTATGCTGTGACTGCGTTCAAGCTCTATGAAGACCAGTTTGGTACGACCTTGAAAACATATGAAACTCCCTTTGTGACCGAATCATCGCTAACAATCGAAGGGTATGGGGAACCAGGACAATTGGCGGGTAACGCGGCGCAATTACTGATGAAACTTATGTGGTTGGCACGACTCAGCCGTCCTGACATTGCATTTGCAACTTCATCCCTTGCTTCCAACATCTCAAAATGGACACGTAACCATGATGTGATGTTGTATAGGTTGTTAGGATATGTCAAAGGAACAATCGAACTTGGTCTGTACGGAACTGTTTTCAGACCACGGTCAAAACCCTAGTCTTCACTTGTTTGCTGACACGGACCTGGCGGGCGACCCAATGTCTATGAAATCCCACAGCGGACACTTCGTTGCGGTGATCGACGAGCATGGAAACATGTTCCCCCTGCACTGGTCTTCTAAACGTCAGTCCTGTGTTTCTCGAAGCACCACAGAAGCCGAGATCGTGAGCGCTGCAACCCTTGTTTTCGAAGAAGGCATTCCTTTGAACACGGTTTTGCAGTTAAGAACCCATTCTGAGATTCCAACAATCTTGCGCGAAGATAACTCCGCAGCCATCACGATCATGAAAAACGGTTACAGCCCAAAGCTAAGGTCGCTGAACAGAACACACAAAATCTCCGTGGCAGCTCTCACTGAGGCCATCGAACAGAGGTTGATCAAGCTCGAGTTGACACCTACTAAGGAGCAATTGGGTGACCTTGGCGCTCGCCAGGGCAGCCTTTTTGGCAGCCAGAGAGTCAATCGGCGTTGGTCCTCCTCCAAGTGGGCAAGAGTAGGTCGAAGGGTATCACTGGGGTCGGCCATGCGCATCGCGCTGGCGACCAAGGATGCTGCATTCTTGGCGTCGGGCGGCTGCCTGTCCATTGCCTCCAAGTCCTCTGCAGCTAGTGAGCCTGACCTTGTGTTCTTGTACCATATTTGCACTCTAATTACCCTAGTTCATTTCCGACCTTCCGTAACAGTGACGCATCTTTGGCGGCGGCATACGGAGAGAACAGGCGCACCTCTCCATGTGCATGCGTGAAACCAGTAAGTGCGATCCTGTTTCGGGGGGGGACATTTTGGACATTGGGTGTTTCACTAAACCAAGATGGTGGCAGAACAACTGCCTTACCTTTCAATTTGGCTCAAGGCTGAGAAGTGCTGAGACACCACAAAACGTGAAAGCAAGAAGAGGATGTCGCGAAGGAAAGAAAAAGGGTTCATATAGACTCCAAACTCTTGAAACCCTATCTGACTCTCCCCTGGCTGTCCACTCTAATAAACCAGACGCGAGGCACCTCTTTCATCCCCTTTCCACTCCGGCATCGAGAGGCCCAACCACCACAAGGGTGTTTTTGCCAAGGGTGTCCTTTTAAATTTTAAATCAGGTTTGTTTATGCCTACGACGCTATCCGGGGCCCCGCGCGAAACCACAATCTTTACAAGTTTTCGTGTTTGGAAGACGTTTTTACAAGTCGGGGCACATGCGTGGGGCCTACGGTTTAGCTTCGTACGCATACACTGTGTTCATACGGGGGGGGTGGGGTGGGCTGGGGTCTAACTTCCTACGCTTGCATGCAGCCGTTCCATACACGGCCGCAAACATGCAGCATACTACCGCACTTCGTCTTTCGTCGTGTCTTGTTCTCTTGTTGCGTTTTTGCCGGTACGTTTCCGCTTTCAAGGGCCACCCTGTGTTGATTTTTTTCGCGATCGATCCGTGGGCTTTGGACTCTGCCTGCAACCATCTGACCCTCGTTCTGATTTCGTTTCAGCCACTATCGGCATCGTGGACACAGGACCCTTGAACTGGGAGGGGCTAGGTGGTTGCTGCGGGTTCTTGTGGTCAATTTGGGCTTCGCACTTCACGTCCTTACTTCACAGACGTTCGTCGAACCTCTGTGTTGTATCTTGTTGTGCATACATATTGTCACGATGTTTGCTAGGTCTACGTACTCGTTTACTAAGTTCTTTCAGTTCGCTGGAACGCGCAGGGCGATCTTTGGAAGGCGGTCTCCCGGTTGATCCCCTGAAGAAAAGAAATGTCGCTTTCGCCCCAGCCCTTCCCCAAAGCAACCTTTTCTCCCCAGTCACCCTGGCGCACCGCGTGCCTTTTAATTATACTGGGCCTGCCAATACAAAAAGCAGGCGACCTCTTAAGAGCCTATCTCAAAGAACAGCAAAGCTCAGGGTTTTGACCGCTTTGCACTTGATGTCTTGCAATGGAAACGTTCTTTTCGCTCGGGGCCCCAGTTAGCGTCGACGCCTTTATTAGTTTTCGTTGTTTCAGAATCTATAAGGTTTTGTGCTGGAACTCCAACTTGAAATCCTTTTTAAAAAAACCTTTCTTAAAACTGAGCTCCAAGCAATCTTTCAAGGGGGAATGCGCAAGCTTACGAGTAAGCCATATTTACTGCATCCATATTTATCAGATCTAATGATGTAATATGTATTAGGGGGGCCGCACAAACTTGGAGCACTGGGGAAAAACACGACGAGAACGACGACGACGTCGAGAATATCTTTGGTGGGGCTGGGGCTGATAGTATTCACACTCCCTCGCGCTCGATTTTTTTGTTAGAGCAGGGGAGGGTTTACTAAGTTAAGATCCGCGCGCGGCGAGACATTGAAGCCAAAAAAATCTGCCGGAGACCGCGGCCACGTACGCGCTGGCAAAACCTAGCTCAGCGCCGAGGCCTTTTAGCAACTGTGCGCAAGCAAGCCCACGCATTGCGCGCGCGCCATGACCAAATCTCAAATCTTGCAGCAATCTGATAGTATTTTTATGTAATTGTAATTTACTGTAATTACCAAGAGGATTTGAAATGGATTTGATCTGATAGGCGTCCAAAAGTTTGGGCTTTGATCTGATAGGTGTAAAAGTTTGTGCGCTCGGCAGTGTTTACTTAAGTGGGATTCTTTTGCTTTTGGCGCGCGTGTGTCAGTCTTTCAAGAATAGTTTATGGGCGGAAGAAGGAAAGAACAGCAAGCAGGGCGTTAGTGTGACACTAGTTCAGCTCTAGATGTTTCGAGGCGCATTTGTATTTGTATACTGTATAATATATTACTGTTCATCTTTTAGGAACGCCAGCCGGGCGCCGATAGGCTAGGCTGATGTGCTGCTAGAGGGGCGAAAGAAGTGAGTAATAGAAGGTGGTCAAAATAATGCAGTCGAAATGCAACTTTACAAGGTGACTCGTGCGTCATTATCGTCGCAAAGTGGCCAGCGTACCGTTCAAGTGGACAGCAGTCTGTCTAGTTGCGCGCGTGGTTCTTCCGCAACAAATATGGATGCAGTCAGCTGCAAAGACGGCAACCTGCAAGCAGGCCTGTTACTGCTGGAAAAACTTCTACGAAGAAGACGCTGCGCGGTATACTGCTCAGCCTTTTTCTGTTCTGCCGTAGAGTCCACGTGGTCCAAGAGAGGCTGGGCCGAAACGCATCGTGACAAACAGGTTCAAAAAAAAAGGGCGTTGTGTGTGGCGGAGCCACAGTTTTGGGGAAGAAAAAGGTGCACCTGCAAAGGAGCGCTATCTTCTAGGATCTAGCGAGGTCTCCTCAAGCGGCTGTAAAGAAGATAGGTTGAAAGACACTGCTTGCGGAATGTTTGAAGGCCATCTTGAGGTAGCGCCAAATTCTCCTGAAAAAGACGATGTACAATTGAAGTCTTTCACTGACTGCGCGGCAGTGTCGTTTGAGCAGTTTTGGAGCTTCAGTTGCAAATGACGCTATAGTAGGCATAAGGTCATAAGCCCTCCCTTCGCGGCGGTTTCAAACATGTAGCTCCAACTTCTCATTGCGACAGCCTTTTTTGTTGTAAGAGTATTCACTGTCCGTCCCCTCTATATAGAAAATATATATAATATATATATATATACAAGATGAGCGCAGATCAATATTTCCTTCCATCTACACACTGGACCAACTTGGCCGGGGATGTGGAAGGGATCCACTTGACGCCTCGAGCAACTTTAGAGACGTGAAAGAAGCAACGCCGAAGTTAACAGGACTGTAGGCAACCTTGTGCAAAGACCTTTGAATAGTCTACGATTAGTGTGTAGTGGCTAGACGCTCGCAGATTCACCAAGCGTTTCGCGCTAGTTCAAGAGCGCGGGGCCCTGAACAACTCAGAAGTTTTATTGCACGAAAACCAAAGATGCAAGGTGTTTGCAGGCCTGCAAGCACTGCTTCCGTCCAGGCCGCTAGGGCAAGGGCGTTGCAGCGCGAAGCCCACATCTTTCGCTTCAACATACGTTTGCTCCTGGCCCCCATTTTGCGTTTCCCTTCGCGCTGCTTCATCGTTCGTAGTTCTTAGCGCATCCCTGATGGTTTCACGCGTGCAAGTTTCACCATCAAATCAAACCTACGCCATAAAACCCTTTTATTTCAGCTGTGACTAGTCTGCAGAGCTGCTATTTGAGCCAGCTGTTCTCTGATTGAGCTCAAGGGGGCTTTCTTACCTAGATCCGCGAAGTTACATGGGTGCCCAGCTAGGGCGTCGCAACTAGTGATTCGTAAGGGCGACCTCCCGAGGCCACGGCGCTCCAGTTTTTAAATCTAATGTGCTTCATTAAATGTAGATAAGTTAATGGCCACTGCAGAATTTGCTGAAAGAAGACAAACGCAGTATTTCTGGATATTTCTCGTTTTTCATGTTTTCTGTATTTCTGTCAGCAGAGATAGGAGCGTCGCAAAATGTCTAGCCCAGGGGCCGCAGCAGCTCTCGGTGCAAGCATTGAGGCGCCCAGACCGCTTGTGGGGAAAGCAGAATCATAACCAAAGCTTAGGAAACGTTAGATGAGTCGCGCGCAAGTGGTGTTTCAGCTACAGACAGATTGACGAACAGTTTCTGAGCCTGTGGAATTGTGTGGTTGCGCGCTTGCCAGTTGGTTGTTTATTCAAAAGAAGCAACCCATACCACGCCCTCCAAACAGGAGACGCCTGCACATGTCCCTGCGCATGTCCTGTCGAAAACAAAAATTCTGAAGGAAACCTTCTTCGGCGAAGCGGAGTTATGTGCGTACCCAACCCCTCTCTTGTGTCTCTAGAACCATGAAAAATCAAGACAAGATCCCAAGCGCGCTTCTAGAGATGAAGCTGCCAAGAGGAAGGGAGTGGGCGCTGCCACGCTCAAGTCCGGTAGCTGCTTTTCGGGTCAAAGAAGAAGAGGCCCTCAGAGCTCGAGAAAGAGATCGCTGTGCTGGGAACGGAAGATGGAAGATCAGAACAAGTCCCTTGTGAAAGTGGAGGAGAGAAGCAAGCAGAAGACATCTATGAAGTGACCAACTGATCCACGGGGTATCTACGACCAAGCGGGCCGGCTGAGGATTGGAGCAGGCTGGATTGCTCCAGGATTTTGCTTGGCTGTGGTGGATTGCTGCGCACGCGGGGCTACACGAGGCTTACAACAACCATACCCCGATGAGCCGCCGCTTCGGCCTGTATGGGCTTGGAGCACTGGAGCACTGAGCCCAAGGCCACGCGTCTGGCGAAAGAGGTTTCCGGCTGCCTCAAAGAATTGTAATTGGAGTCGTTCGAAATCAGACCTTGCAGCTTTTACGGCGCGGCGGCGCTACGTGCTGGTTGTTTCTTCATCTTTCACTCGGCCGAATTCAGTGCTAGGCAGACGGGCTGTCCAAAGACCGGCCCGGATATATATATATATATAGAGAAACATATTTATCAAGGGCCAGCCACACTTGCGCAACTGAAGCTCCCAGCGAAATCTTTGACCCTTTCGCGCGTTCGTTTCACCGGCATGACCTGCTACTCGCTTGGGCGCTCTAAAGCAGTCTTGGAGGAAGTGGATAGTGAGCGGCTTCTTCCGCGCCGAGAGAGAAGACAAGAAAGAAGGCGCCCGACCCCCAAGACGCTTGAGGGGTACGAGGGGCCTCAGTTCTTTTGTTGGCCTGGCTAAAAGAACTGGCGCCGGGCCTTTAAGAAGAAGGACTCGTAGTGGAAACGAATTAATCTGTTTATCCTAACTCTTTAACTTTTCGCACGTTGCTTCAATTGCAGGTCAAAAACAGTGCGGGTGAATTTTTTGCCACCAGAACTGTCAAGATGAACTCGCGTTTTAGGCCCGCAGCAACCCGGGTTTAGCTCCCATCCCTGCGCGAGTTGTTTTTTGCGGCGGCGTGGGGGCAAAACTTTTTCGATGTCGACAGAAAAAGACCAGAAAGAAGGTACTTGGGTTTAAGTATCTTGGCCTGGCAAGATGTTTGAGGGGCAAGGGGGCTTGGCTAAAAGAACTGGTGCTGGGCCTCAGGAAAATGGGCTCGTGGTGGAAACGAGTTAGTCTTTCTCATCCTAACCCTTCAATTCTTGACACATTTCCGCACGCGCCCAAAAAACAACGCGGGCAAGTCTTTACATAGTTACATAGTATAGCTGAAGAGTTCATGAATATATACGGGGAACAATTTCAACAGGAATGGCCATGTAACTCGCTTTGGAGTTTTGCCATCAGATAAGACCTGCCTGTTGATGTACATGCTGAGAAAAACATCCTTCATCATTTGTCCGACATCTCCTTCCAATCGATTTGATGTGCAAGGCCACAGCAGTTGGGCGCGCCACGGCACAAACAGCCGACAAAAAGTTCCAAGATGAGACAAAGGCTGAGGCTTGCTTGGCCAAGAGACAGATAACATTGCGTGTGTTTTCCCGAATGCGTAGCGAAGGGTTCTCGTTTAACTCTGGGGGTCTGGCGGCAGAGCCTTGTTCGCGACCCGTTGTTTCTATGTTCGCAACCGTCCGCGACCGTTCGCGACCGGACGCAGTAGAGCGCTAAGGCGCTGCCATTGGGGGAAGCTTTTGGAGAGGGTTTCGGATGGAAACGTGACGTGTCAGATTCGTGTGAAATAGCGAGGAGTCGTGTGGAAATGTAAGATGTTGAAGTGTGGAGGATGACTTCACTGCGCAGGCGCAGCGTTTTGTGAGATCCGCAGTTTGCTGCGCAGTTCCATTGGGATTAGTGTTTGGAGAGTTGTGTTTTTGGGGTGTTGGATGTGGCCGTGCCATTGGGATTTGCGTTTCAGGGTGTGGCATCGAAGCTCTGTTTTCGTGACAAGTCTCAGCTGAAATGGGGATTTTGGTGGGTGGGAGTGTGCTCAGAACGGGTCGAAATCATTCCAAACGTGTGGTGTGGTGCAAATTTTGTTGAAGCTCACATGAGATGATATTGTCGCTTTTCGTTGCAGGCGCAGTACTTTGTGCGGGTTTTGAGGTGTGGAAGTGCGATTTTCGTGGCAGGCGCAGGGAATCGTGAGGTTGCGAGGTGTGACGGTCACATTTCGTGGCAGGCGCAGTACTTAAGCGCGTTAGACGTTTGGATGCGGAAAGATTCGTGGCAGGCGCAGGGAATCGTGAGGTTGTGAGTTGTGGTAGAGGTGAATGTCGCTGTCACATTGGGATTGGCGTGTGAGCGGGTGTTGTTTGGAGGGGCTGGAATCGCGAAACTGCTTGGCAGGGCTGCGTGATGTGTGTGTGTGCCGACGGGTGTTTCCGCTTGACTTTTGGAGGAAGTCTCGTACGAAACGCTCGTTTTGCAGACTTTGACATGTGAGTTTTTGAGCAAGTCTCGTACGAAACGCTCGTTTTGGAGACTTGACGTGTGACTTTTGGAGGAGGTCTTGTACGAAACGCTCGTGTTGCAGCCTCGAAGCGTGTGTCCTACAAGACTGTCCCAGATAGTGAGAGTGTCCCGCAAGAGTGTCCTACAGGAGTAACCCACAAGAGTTTCCTACAAGAGTGTCCCACAAGAGTGTCCTACAAGAGTGTCCCACAAGAGTGCCCTACAAGAGTGTCCCACAAGAGTGTCTCACAAGAGTGCCCCGCAGGAGTAACCCCCAAGAGTTTCCTACAAGAGTGTCCCACAAGAGTGCCCCACAACAGTGTCCCACAAGAGTGTTCTACAAGAGTGTCCCACAAGAGTGTCCTACAAGAGTGTCCAACAAGAGTGTGGACAAGAGTGTCCCACAAGAGTGTCCCGCAACAGTGTCCCACAAGAGTCTCTCACAAGAGTGTCCCTTAAGAGTGTCCTACAAGCGTATCTCGCAAGAGTTTCCTACAAGAGTGTTCCACAAGAGTGTCCCACAAGAGTGTCCCACAAGAGTGTCCTACAAGAGTGTCCCACAAGAGTGTCCTACAAGAGTGTCCCACAAGAGTGTCCCATAAGAGTGTCCCACAAGAGTGTCTCACAAGAGTGTCCCGCAAGGGTGTCCTACAGGAGTAACCCACAAGAGTTTCCTACAAGAGTGTCCCACAAGAGTGTCCCACAAGAGTGTCCTATAAGAGTATCCCACAAGAGTGTCCTACAAGAGTGTCCCGTAAGAGTGTCCCGAAAGAGTGTCCTGTAAGAGTGTTCCACAAGAGTTTCCTACAAGAGTGTCCCAAAAGAGTGTCCTACAAGAGTGTCCCACAAGAGTTTCCTACAAGAGTGTCCCAGAAGAGTGTCCCACAAGAGTGTCCTACAAGAGTGGCCTACAAGAGTGTCCCACAAGAGTGTCCTACAAAAGTGTCCTGTAAGAGTGACCCAAAAGGGTGTCCTACAAGAGTGTCTTGCAAGAGTGTCCCACAAGAAGTGTCCTACAAGAGTGTCGTGTAAGAGTGACCCACAAGAGTGTCCTACAAGAGTATCCCACAAGAGAGCGTCCCATAAGAGTCACCTGCAAGAGTGTCCTTTAAGAGTGTCCCACAAGAGTGTCCTACAAAAGTGCACCGTAAGAGTGACTCACAAGAGTGTCCTACAAGAGTGTCCCACAAGAGTGTCCTACAAGAGTGTCCCGCAAGAGTGTCCCACAAGAGTGTCCTGTAAGAGTGCTCCACAAGAGTGTCCTGCAAGAGTGACCCACAAGAGTTTCCTACAAGAGTGTCCCACAAGAGTATCCCACAAGAGCGTCCCAGAAGAGTGTCCGTCAAGAGTGTCATTTGTGCATATGGAACGTGCTTGCATTCGGGTTCGTGGGTTCCATCTTGTTTTTTGCAAAAGCATTAATGATTTTAGACTTGGATTGAAAATCTTTGAGCCATCGTATGGCGGTGAGTTTGTCCGTCGCCAATGTTGCTGCAACCAAATACTTGTAGTTTGAATCCACGCCCAGGCCGGTGCGCTTTACATTTGTATCACAGCGGCCCATGGACTGAAGAGGTGACGTCCTGGTGTGTTTTAGTTCGAGCAAAGGTTAAGAGGGTTCGCAAATGTCTGAGGTTGTTGGATATGGATCCGTGCGACAGTCAGTGTTGAGCCGTGTTTGCTAGCCTGTTTAGGCAAACCAGGCCCAAGAATCTGCCATTGCCCGTTGCAAGGTATGTGGTGATCAGAGCTGGTACCAAGGAATGGCAAACTTCGCCAGGAACATAGAGGGATGATGCGTACGCAGCAAAATGCGCCGTCCTGTTGTTATTTGATGTTATTTGAATGAGTAGGAGTAAAACAGTAAAAAACCGTTGGAAAAGTCAAAGTGACCACGAACAACGATGTGTTGCCGCTTGGATTAGCTGTTCGATCGGAACTCAAAGCAAATCAAATTGGTCAATGCCGGTTGTGACACGTATATTGTTTGAGCCCTCACACATTCAACCACAAGCTGCATCAACAGCACTATGTTTGATGTAGGCTCACAAAAACTGCGTGACAGTTGTGTGGCCAAACAGTTTCACATTCAATTTCAATATTCAACATGTTCTAGCCTGTGCACAAGCAGAGCTTTTGAAGCCAATGACTTGAATCAGAACATCTTAAAGCCACCGACGGATTCAAAGGAATTATATCGGTATCGGCAGGCGTGCAGCCCTGCCATGGATTCGCGTCGCTATGAACAGACCGACGCGTCTTGAAGTGCCAGACCCTGCAGCTCATGAAGACGAGGAGTGGAGCGGCTGGAGTAGTGGCGATCACTCTGGCATCCATGGGACCTTTGATACCCTCCAATGAGGCCCACATGGCCGCGAAGTCAGCTGAATTCTGGACAAGTTCTGGATTTCGTGGCCTTACTTTCTATTTCACTACAGTTGAAGAAAAACAAACATCATAGAAAAACAATTGCACTATGTGGAACGGGGAGTTCCAATGATTTGCGGAGCTTTGAGCCTGTCCAACAACCAGGACTGAAATGCGGCCCCAAGCCTACTAAATGACCTGACACTCTTGGCTTAGTTAAAAACACCAGCTTGTGAATTGGACTCTCAAAGAAAGCGTCCTAAACGCACTACAGTGTGGCTGCAAAACATCAAAAACCTTCGTTCTTGGCATTCTTGGCTCTCCTCTCCTATCATCGCACCCACGCACCACCAACATGACCTTGTCAACGAGGCAAGACCACCACCACCGCCGCCACCACCACCACCACCTATGAAGATTCACTTCTGGTTGAACAATCGTGAATAAAAAATGCAAACGTCGAAACCTGCGACTGCGAATAGTCGCCACGTCCACCGCCCCGTTCCCCTGGCGTGCCGCGCTTTCTTTTGCGCAGACACTTGAGCCACGAGTAGTGGCATGGTTCAAGTTGGTAATTCTCGATTTGTGCGACGTCCGGTCGCACGAGCGGCCAAAAACAGGTCGAAGACCTGCAGCCTGGTTTGGACTGGATTTCCGGCAAGCATGCTACAACGGAAGGACGTGGTTGTCATGGTATATGTAAAGGGTGTCATCCTTTCACACCCCCCGCAACTATGGCATTCCGTTCAAAATGATCATGATCTGCAGTGGTGATAGCAAGCTTGGTTCATATATCCCGATCAGGCCATGTCGGGATTGCAATTCCAATCATATGTTCTGTGACACGTCTGTTCCCAGCTTCAAGAAAAATATCTATGCTCAGCAAAAGAATCTTTCAAGATGCTAGTGAGGTAGTGTCATGGAGAACATGAGCAAAATTGGCACAGGCATGTGGAATTCCTTGACTGTATTCGCGGATAACCCGCCTGAGCACTGGAAGGACAGATGCTGAGGCACCAATCCTCTTTGAAACATCATGTTCGAATTGAACCGAGGATAAACCGCCTGAGCACTGGAAGGACAGATGCTGAGGCACCAATCCTCTTTGAAACATCATGTTCGAATTGAACCGAATTCGGATTCGGTTGTCTTGCAAATGGCATGAGATGCCATTTTGGATATTCAAGCTCGGAGATTTGTGTAGCATTATTCCTATGGAATCGCTGTCATACTCCAAAGTCAAGTTCCTTACCTATCTAATTCACTGAAACTAAACACGTTCTAAGCTCCAAGGCACCAGGAGTGGGATGAGTCCTGCACGCAAACACTCCCGATCGGTCGGGATTGTCTTACAAGTGGAACCGAGGCGTCCAAGCAAACCTGTAAGTGAAATCGAGGCATCTGAAACACAACTGTAAACTTAGAAGACCTTTGTGAAGTTCTCTTTGAGAGGATCACATATCCCAAGGTTCAAACCTAGCATCAAACATCTCACAACCTGTGGGATTCCAATACACTGGCTGCACGGGGTGACCGTTTTATCATAGCCATCGAGGCAATCCACAGTCCCGTTCAAATTCAACATGGTGCAGAAACTGTGGATGACGCTCGGAAAACACGAACTTCTGGTCCCTTCGAATCACCCCGCGAGGACAGCAGTTGGGACAAATCTGCAACCGCTGGTACAACTCAGATGGCCTTTTGGCTCGAAGCATTCCACAACTGTTCTTGTGAAAGCAACGCCCGGTCTTCCAGCACACGGAATACGAAACTGCCCTGACCTCGCCATCAGAGGTAGTGGAAGGTGGATCCTCGGCTGCTGCATCTGGGCTGTGACTGGGTGCACGTGGTGGATGGTTTGGCGGCTGAGGTCCCCCTTGGTGAGATTCATCCGAGGACAGATGATTGACTTGCTCCCAATCTTCTCCGGCCAGTGCTTGATCAGTGGATGCCTGAGCTATGGAGGAACCCTGTCCTGTGGTTGATGCACTGCTCGACTTCCCTTCTCCTTTCACACGATATCCCTTTGTGGGATAGGATGCTTCTGACTCCTCCCCTTTTCCACCGTTGCCCTTGGTGCTCGAAGCTGGCCCGCTGGAGATGTTTACCTGCAGGTCGGCAAGTGAATCTCCCTCCACAATGATGGTGATCTTTGGCGCCATCCCCAAGAATCAGGATGCGAGGATGTGCCGAGTCAAAAATAAAACACAAATGTGGAACATCGAAACCTCAAGGTCGTAACCGTCTGCTCTGGATGGCAGTTCAACCCTGGGGGTGATTTGCGCAATGCGATTTTTAAGCTCTAATTATCGAAACTAGCCGGCATGACATGCAGTGAACTTCAAGTTCGGACCAAGTCGATATTATTGAGTCACTTATCAAATGAAGTTCATTTCAAGAACATCAATAAAGATCTTTCAAGTGAAGTTGACTTAAACACACATGAATTCATGCTCTTGAGATCTCTATGCAGCTGCCAGTGATGCCCTCGTTTTGGACACGAACCAAGATGCGGCCTCCACAGCCAATGCACTCGGATACGAACCCAACGATTCGAGGTGCTGGTGATTCAATGGCAAACGCTGGACACAAGAACACGTTTTGGGTTCGAACAGGGGCATTGTTGCAAGCTACACGAAACACGTGCTTTGCCGTCATGCTTTGATCACTCTGGTAGCTACAACGCGGATATTCCTTCATGAACCTGAGTCCCCAAAGTTGACAGTTCGTCTGAATCAACTCAGCTTTCCAATACGTACAGGATTTGGAAAGTTCAAGGCAACGAATGTTAGCAATCTTGATGATGGGAGTCGCTTCCGACAACAAAAACGAGAACGTGCGAAAGTGTTCCTTTTGCAGCTCAAGCCTTCGTGCCTTAGCAATAAGGTTCAGAACCGGACTGCCTCCGGTGCATGGAGGGCTAACCCAGCACAATACCAGCAAGGTTGGGCACTTCTCAATCACATGGTTTAACCATTCGATCAGCCTCCCCTTGATGGCCTGAACTGGACAGTCCTTGGTGATTGCGATCACACCCAAGCTTTGGAATTCAGGCAAGTCATGGATTTGGGAGAAGCCTGCATTGGGGTTGGTGAACATATCGATCAACAGGTGTGTGATGCGCTTTGCCTGGACTCCTGCCATGATGCAATCCAGTCCAACCTTTCACAAAAATCTCGAATGGGGCGCGCGTCAGGCTCTTCGATTGAGGCCTCGAGGACATTCTGTCCCCATGACTGGTCTGCAGTCTCGGTTGGCTGTGCGTCAGCCAGGTTCTTGTCAAGACCTTTGGACTTCTTCTTGGCTTCAAACTGCCATGTTTGGGGGGCTGAGGATTCGACAATACCAATTTGGCACCTTGGCACCTGTGGAACTCGGTGAGATCTTTGTTCAAGATCTTGGTAAGCAAATCAGCTACACAGTACCTCCCTGAGATCCACGTGAGAACCAGGTGTCCGGCTTCAATGAGCGACTGAACAAAACATGTAGCAAGTGACATGTGTCGCACTCGTCTTGAAAGACCCTGGTTCTGAAGGGCGGCCAAACAACTCTGCGAATCCGAGAAAACAACAATCGGATAACTTTCCCGAATCCCATTGCTCCCTACACGGTCGAACTCAATCGTGGTGATGTCAGTCTCGTGAAATTTTTCAAGTTCGGCCGGATCAGCGAAGTTCTCCAAAAACTCTGTGAGGTGTCTCAAACCTATGCATTTCCTGGGAGATCTGGCAAACAGCAATCACCTCTCACTCACACGACGACAATGTGATGCAATGTTGCATTCTGCTGTATGCCTTAATGACATTTCCCTTCCAGCAAATGACTCCCCCACTTATCGATCTACGTTTCTCACTGTCGCTAGATCCCCATGAAGCGTCCGATACACCAGTCAGTCCTTCATAGAACGGAACGGTGTCGCTTTCAGCGGGGAATCGTTGGAATTGGTGGGCAACACTTCGGACGAACCTGAGATACTTACGAAGCATGTTCTCATGGATGTTCGTGGGATCGGACTGCCCGGTTGCCAGGAGCGACAGAAACCTCGAGTGGTCTGGACGCGATTGGCACCACCATGCCAGCTTGCCGACTATCTTCTTGTAACGGCTTGCAGCCTCTTCTGACAAAACTGTGACGGTGGTCGGATCGCGATGACCTTTCTCAAGGATGGCCAGCAGATCAGGCGGAACTGGTGATGCTTTGAGTCTTTGAGGTCACTGCAAAACGGCTCGTTCGTGAAAAGGTCTTCAAGGTAACTTGGGGGAACCCTGACCAACATTGAACTGGAGTGCTGAGGTCGAATGACTTCCCTCCCAAGAAACATGAGCTTTCCTCCAACACCTCGTGAACTTGTGATGGAACCAGTCGTTTTGACTTTCAACGAAGCCGACAGTGCAGACCTCACATCATCA